CAATACCTAATAACTTAATTAAATAAGACAGAATTAAATTTTATTTTGAAAAAATAATTTATTAATATTTATCTGAGGTACAAATCTTTTTGCACCAACCCATATATATAATAAACTTATCATGTTCTTCAAAAAAAAACTCAGCAGGGAGAGGTTCAGTTCTATAGAAATTCACTCCCCTAAATTATTTAAATTCATAAAGATTCACCAATTTGTTGGTTTTTATATATTTAAATATATCTGGTATCAAAACAAGATGGGACGAATTTATTTATGAAGACAACATAGAAGATTAGTTAAAACATAATTCCGAAGATTTATATAATAAGCATTAAACGAGGAATTAATCGTTCTTCTGATTTGCGTTTAGTACAATGTATGTTTTACTTTACACACACATACATATATATTTTATTAAATCTTATTATAATTAACTTTTTTTAAGTTCACTTTTCTTTTTTAAGTTGCTTTGTTAATATATTTGATATCTGAATCTTTCGATACAGGCTAACAATTGATTTCTTCCCGTTTGTTCTTATTTACATCTTGTATTAATTTAGCTCAGTTTAATTTATCACTAGTGCTTTTTGAGTTTCATAAAATTTCATGTTCATTTCTTATTAATTTAACTAATTCTTTATAATTGCTGTATCGACCATAATAAGATAACATATACGAGTGACAGAGCAGAACATACGGAAGAACGAGCCTACATTTTAAAATCTTATAAAACATAGAGTAAAAATAAAGACAAATAAAATATAATATAAATGAGGTAGTGGTGTAAAGGATCTTAAGTTAAAGAGAGCAAAAAAACCTTAAATTAATGAAAGCAGAGAATAATCAGTCCTTAAATTAAAACATATTTTTGTTCTTGGCTCGAAACGTGGTGTTTGCAATAAACGCATTATGAGTCTAATGATGCAGGAATATTCGAGGGATTAAGTACGCCACCAACTCAATACCTGTTATTGGGTATCGGAATCAAAGCTACAATCTAAATCGAGAAATACGTTTTCTTCATTCACTATAGAAAAGTTGGAACCCCCAATGAAACTAGAACAAATGTCAATAGATTCGTTATTCTGTTGTTCCGTTCGATGCAATTCATTAAGTCGACTAATGAATTTTATCGACTTAGCGTAGCAAATTACGATTATCATCAGTGAAAAGAAAATTTTCTTGGTTTGTATTTGTGCACATATTTTATGGTTTAGTATATGATATATTTTTTTTTGCGAACTCGGAGTGACTTTTATAATAAAATCAAGCTAATATTCATTTATATTAATATATATTAATATATATTAATAGATATTCTTGCAGTACTGTTTCTTCTATGGCATAATCAATGAAAAAATCACAAAGACACAATTCAGATCAAGTGTCCGAGAAAGCCGAAATAAGCATCCCATGACACATAGTATAATAATTCTTCCGCTGAAAAAGGAAAGCGGACTAAAACTCCGATGCATGATAAACAAAAAGTATCTAGTACTTTCTTCTGATGCAAAAGAAAAAAAGGAACAAAGCTCCGATGCATAAAAAATTTTGTTTAGTAAACAAAGTTTTATCAAAGAAAAAGCGTATACCACATCACGTCAAATTTTGATATAATGCTTTAAAAAGTTTCTTGTAAAATTTTTAGCGTATACTATAAGTATCTTTGAGGAAAAATGTATTAATATATAGTATATGCGAGTGGCGTTGAACTTGGTCTGGTGATATAAAAATGAAAGGAGTAAGCAATAATGCGGGTATAATCAAACCTTAAAGGGGATGGTACAATAATTCTAATTGGCAATGAAAGAAGATTAAAAAATAAATGTTACCATATTTTAATATTTTGTTTTTTAAATCCTTTTTTTCTGAATCTTTTGAAACAGGTTAATAATTAATTTCTTTTCTTGCAAACTTCTCTATTTTATTTATATCTTGTATTAATTTATTTAGCTTAATCTTATAACTAATATATTAAGTTTACATCTATATTATTTATCTTGTGTTATCATAGTTAAACATTTTACAAAGAAAGCACATTTAGTTATTTATCATTAGATAATAAATTGTGTCAAGCACACGATTATTTTAGCAGAAAATTATCGACAGGAATCTATATATGCGAGTGACAGAAACAGAAGCAAAAACGAATTTGGGAGAAAAGGAACGAATAGAACGAACTCACTTTACACAGAAACAGAACGAGCATACATTTTTGAATATTATAAAACAATCGGAGAAAATGAACGAACAAAAATCGAATATAAATGAGGGAATGGTGTAAAAAAAACTTAAAGAAGATCAAATGAAAGTAGAGAATAACCAGAACTATTTTTATTCTTGCTGAGATTGATGATGCTTCTAGAGGTTAGACTGTAAATCGGACTCCACCAACTCAAAGCTACGAACAAAATCGAGTAACACATCTTCTTCATTTACTACAGGAAGGTCAGAGCCTCTAATGAAATCGGACCAAATATCGATGGATTCATTATTTTGTTGTTCCGTATTATGCAATGCCTCAAGTCGAGTAGAAACTTCATCTACTGAATAAAAATAGAGTAGCAAGTTATGATGATTATCGGTAAAGGAAAGATTCTCCACCTGCGGCATTGCATTATTGGTTGAGGGATTAGGTTGTAAATTGGATTCAACCGACTCAACTTCTATTGTTGGGATACCGGAATTAAAGCTGCGATCTGTATCGAGCAAAATGTTTTCGTTTACTATAGGAAGGTCGGATCCTCTAATGAAATTAGACCAAACGTCAATAGGTTCACTATTTTGTTGTTCTGTTTGATGCAATTCATTAAGACGACTAATGATTTCATCGACTGAATATGAATATCGTAGCAAGTTATGATGGTTATCGGTGAAGCCTTGGTTTATATTTGGATTCATTTTTGATTTTTAATACTGTATATGTATAAGTTTTTTGCTTTTTAAAAATTTTATCTTTTTTTTTTTTTTTTGCTTTTTTTGCTTTTTTTTGCGAATTCAAAGTTCTTTTATAATCAAATCAAAGTTAATCGTTATTTATATTTATGTTGGATCAAGGGTTCGAGAAAACATTGTTTACAATATAAAAATTTAGTCAAATTGTTCTTAGATATTTCGATATGGTTTTTTATTTTTAGATGCCGTATATTTCCGAAATACACATCTCATGACACTTTTGATATTTAATATGGACCTTCTTTGTAGTGGAGACTCACGATATAATGGATAATATTTAATAAATTTTCGCTACGTATAAAACCAGATATTGGATTGTATATAGAAAATTCTATGTGTATTTAAAATCAAAATCCAATCAGACAAGTAATAAAGATATATTGATAGGTTATGAGCATTAAGAAGAAGGAAATATTAATACTTGGAACAATATCGTTAACATTTAAGATATATTAATAAATATCGACTTTCGAGCGTTATTCAAAATAAATAGTGAATAATATCCAGGTCTAATGCACGGAGGGTATTATTTTTGAGGTACTATATACAGTGCTAAACGGTAGATTTTTTGATAAAGAGGGTTTGTACATGTCACATCTGCTTATTATCGGAGGAATACGGTGCGAACTCTTAACGTTAACTTTTAAAACGCTTGTATGTGTAATAAATAAATAATTAGACAAAAATTACAACGCATTGATAAATAAACAATGTAAATGATATAAAGATAAAAATAAGGAGTAAATAATGATGTGGCTTAAAAAAAATGAATCCGCAATATAAAAATAATTTCATGCAATGTATCCGCATATATAAAAATAATTTTGCGCATTGTACATGCACACGGGCAATATCATAGGGGTTTTTGTTTGTTTGTGTATGCAGGTGCATTATGGGAATGTGACATTTAACCACAGTATGGTCGTTCGTTCATCTCACTTGACTCCTGTTCTCTTAAAAAAGAAGTTAACAATTTCATTAAATAAAATGCACGGTTTTTTAAATGAATAATTAATAAAATCCGGGGGTTTAGATTTTCATTTTAGGAAATCAACAATAATATTACATAATTCTATGCTTAGGAAAAATAGATTTTCTCGAGATAATTTAGGAATACATGCATCATTTACTCTTTTAAGAATCAATAGAAAAACCTAAAACTAATGAAAATGCATCTATCATTAGCATCGAAAAACCAAAACAAGCAGGTGGTGTACTCGCATCTATGAGATGTTCTTTCTTTGTGCCACTCAGTAGAAAATCCAATCGAACGGTAAAGATTATTAATAATCCTTGCATAATATCGTTTTTCGTTTATATAAAAAGCTGCGTTCTCATAAATCAAGAAACAAGTTTTTATTAAAGAATCACAAGAAAAAGATATGAAGAACAACATCTACACTCGACATTTAATAAAGTCACCAGATGCATGTTTGCTGAAGACTCACGTAATATATTGTCTTAAAGCTTTGATTTTTCCAAATCAAATCCTAGTATATTTTTTTTTAATTATCATATTTCTAAGTGGGATAATTTCTTATTAATGGTCAAGTATACTGTACATGGGAAAAGTGTGATGTATGATTAAAAACTTATTTTAATAACCAAAATATTGACAGCATATACTATAAATAGGTATGACTCACTTGACTTGTGATACAAAAACAAAAAATATTCTAATACCGTAATTTGACGCACTCACCATAAAAGACTTTCCCCCTTATTTTATTAATAGTTTTCTTTCTTTCTCTAATTAAATTTTTTGGTAAAATGTAACAGACCCCGGGGTAGTTTATGCGGCGAACCACGGTACATGTAACCAGTTACATTGGATGACGTTGAGATTACATTCCATTATGTGGCTCCAATGATTTTTGGCTCGTTTTAAACTCCTGAATTATGCACATATTTAAATTAATATCTTTTGCGCGATTAAACGAGTTTTCAATGCTTGCTTGTTATTAGCATATATCATTCAACATTAAAACAAGTATTTGGCGTCTTTTTTGTTTACAGTCATGCAAAAAAAAATTCAAAATAATAATGTATCATTGTGGTATATAATGTCTGTTTATTTTCCTGTTCTCTTAAAAAGGAATTTTGCTGTCAAGATAAAAGAGATACAATGTTACAGGTATTAACTCTATATGCGAAAAAATTCCTTAATTAGGAAAATTACCTCGGAACAATTTTAACTTTATTTTACTTTGCCAATACACGACGGAAACCGAAACAAGCATACTCAAAATTGATGTCTGCTTTTATGTGACATTAGCCTTGACCCAATAATACTTCTCAATTTTGATATGCATAAAAAATCCTTCTAGTGTTATTATTTACATCTCGGTTTATGTCCTCTCATACACTATGGATTCGAAAGCGTTTATTAACTTCGTGATGCATCTTTACTTTAACTCACATATAGCTGTTTGTAAGAGAATTTTCTTTGATAATTTATTAGAAAATCAAGTGGCGATTTGTTTGAAACACCTCTTCTTTATTCGTCGTGTTTGATTTTTCTTATTACATACAAATCTTGCCGCATCTCGATATTAGGCGTTGTATACAGTCATGCAAAAAATAAAAATTAAGAAACCTCATCGAAATGTATAGTATAACGCAGCAAACATAGATATTCCATTTTTTTAAGTTGCGCTCAATGCGGCGGCGTATGTTGATTTCTAAATTTAGTTCAAAATCACATATTATTATACATGTATATGAAAACACTTCACATACGAAATTTTGGATTTTAAGTCTTGCACTGTAATTATCACTTGCAAAAATAAATAAAAGATGATTCCAACCAAAAATGAAGCTTCACATATTCCTGCTGCTTTACAAAAGGCAGAACACGATCAACTGATAATTAAAACGGCTATTAGGGAAAGATTGGCAGTTGTCATGTCGTTATATTTTAATAAATATATATTTTTGTCTTATCGTAAAATAATGTTTACAGACGAGTGATGATGTTTCAAAAGTAGAACATCCAAAACAAAAATAGAACAAAAACCTTTAAATATTCTTGAAAATGAATATCAAAAGGTTGCAACCATAATTTATATGAATGTTTGGTTATGTTTGCCAATGTTTTTAATATTTTTCACCAGTTGTTTTAGCTTTTCTCAAATATAGTTCATCTTTCCGAATTTACCGTCTATCCAACCCATACGAAACACTAGACCCTACTTTGATAACAATAAATAATGAAATTCCATCGTTGGCTTCTTTATGGCCCAGCATTAAATCACGTGACACAAACACCAATTACAAAACTCCTACAGAACAAGAAAGCAAGCATCGACGAAAAGAAATGATGCGATTGAATGAATCTTTACTTGATTTACCAGGTAAAACAAAATGGAAAATATTTTCTTTGCAAAAGAACTTTCAATTTAATTTATATTTTTAATAATGGGGAGAAGTCTTGATTAATAGTATAAAACTGAATCACAACAGCAAGACAAAGATACAGGAATTTATTAGTAGATTTTGGTGTTGGATATTAAAACATCATATGTTATCAATGCAGCAAGCAAAGGAGATATTCAAGGAGAAGGAAGGGGCGGAGAATGAGAATGATAAAGTAAATATAAAAATTGATGAAGATCAAGTAGAACAAATTCCGCAAAAGGTAGCAGTGTTATTTAATTCCCATTTTCATTTTTTAATAAATATCTCTGTTTATTTATTAGCTAATTTTGTCAATAGACTGCATTTGAAATATCATATTCTCTTAAAGTCATCTTGAAACAGCCAAAAGATAAACTCCAAATCAGAAAATAATACCATAATGAAACAACTTCAATTTAGTACACAACTTTCGGGGCATGTTATTGTTGTACGAATCATTTCAAGGTATTTATACAAAAAACATGTTTATTATAATAAAATCTACGTTTTATTTTAACTACTACTATTATTCGACATTTTTAGTCGAAATTTGTCGTCACAATATTCGAAGATCGAGATGTTCTCGAGGTATCCGACACGACAATTACAGGAAGTTAGTACCATCATCGTTGTCAGAGTTTATTAATTCAATTATATGGCCAGAGATGGCGGAAGAGTTTGGTATTAATTGATTTAAATATTACTTGGTAAAAAAAGAAAATGACTTAGGTAGTATAATTCATGGTTATCTATATTATTCATGTCTCAAAATATTATTGTACTGTTAACTATATAAAAATATAAAACGAAAAATTAAATCGAGGAATGAGTTGCGCTTCGCGCCAGGTTAATAGTTCTTTGCGTAAAAGATGATCGTAGCGCAGAAGATGATCGTGATGGGGAAGATGATCGTGGTGGGGGAGTCAATCGTTGTGGAACACCTTTAATTGCGCTTGGTAATTGATATATTACATTATAGACGGTATACCCCATTTTTTGATAGGAGTCTCAATTACTCCTTGTAAAGGAGCATCTTGCGTGAGTGTACCAAATATACCCACTGACGCAGATAATTAAAGTGTTGTTGCATAACCATTTCCAAGAGAGCGCAATGTTGGACATGATGGTGCAAATCGACCTGCAAATAATTGAACTTTTCCTGTAATAGTATTTCTTTTTTGATCTTCGGGACTTAATTTTGGATATCGGAGAGCCATTGATTCAAGTAGTACTTTTTCATCGATAAAAGGTAAAACACCAACGTCCGAGATAAATTGCATCTTGTTCGGGAAGAAATCTTTTAGAGGTGAATTAGGGTCCGTTAACAAATCACGGAATGGTTCTGGAACAA